ATGCACTGACCATTATGCTACCACGGCCCTATTCGCCGCGTCGAAATTTTCCTAGCCTTAAGCTGCAAGGCAGCGCCATCTCTTCGCATTGTAGGTAACCCACAATGTCAAATGAATACTTTTTCAAGTATTAAACATTTGAAAGAAGAAATGGCAATTATAGTTATGTTTTTATTTATTTTTAAGCATTTAACTGCTAGATGTTTAAATCTAAAGAAAAGTTTACTAGAAAAAAATCCACGCGGACCAGGCAGCGGACGGGACTCGAACCCGCACCTTTCGCAATCCGGGCGAATGCACTGACCATTATGCTACCACGGCCCTATTCGCCGCGTCGAAATTTTCCTAGCCTTAAGCTGCAAGGCAGCGCCATCTCTTCGCATTGTAGGTAACCCACAATGTCAAATGAATACTTTTTCAAGTATTAAACATTTGAAAGAAGAAATGGCAATTATAGTTATGTTTTTTTTTTTTTAAGCATTTAACTGCTAGATGTTGACTAGATTGTGGGTTACCTACAATGCGAAGAGATGGCGCTGCCTTGCAGCTTAAGGCTAGGAAAATTTCGACGCGGCGAATAGGGCCGTGGTAGCATAATGGTCAGTGCATTCGCCCGGATTGCGAAATGTGCGGGTTCGAGTCCCGTCCGCTGCCTGGTCCGCGTGGATTTTTTTCTAGTAATCTTTTCTTTAGATTTAAACATCTAGCAGTTAAATGCTTAAAAAATAAATAAAAACATAACTATAATTGCCATTTCTTCTTTCAAATGTTTAATACTTGAAAAAGTATTCATTTGACATTGTGGGTTACCTACAATGCGAGGAGATGGCGCTGCCTTGCAGCTTAAGGCTAGGAAAATTTCGACGCGGCGAATAGGGCCGTGGTAGCATAATGGTCAGTGCATTCGCCCGGATTGCGAAAGGTGCGGGTTCGAGTCCCGTCCGCTGCCTGGTCCGCGTGGATTTTTTTCTAGTAATCTTTTCTTTAGATTTAAACATCTAGCAGTTAAATGCTTAAAAAATAAATAAAAACATAACTATAATTGCCATTTCTTCTTTCAAATGTTTAATACTTGAAAAAGTATTCATTTGACATTGTGGGTTACCTACAATGCGAAGAGATGGCGCTGCCTTGCAGCTTAAGGCTAGGAAAATTTCGACGCGGCGAATAGGGCCGTGGTAGCATAATGGTCAGTGCATTCGCCCGGATTGCGAAAGGTGCGGGTTCGAGTCCCGTCCGCTGCCTGGTCCGCGTGGATTTTTTTCTAGTAATCTTTTCTTTAGATTTAAACATCTAGCAGTTAAATGCTTAAAAAATAAATAAAAACATAACAGTAATGTTTTTAATTAAGTCAATTAAGAAACATTTTTAAATTAAATCATTATTATTGTGACTGCATGTGCATATTAAAAGTTAATGACATTTGAAAATGATTTTCTAAGAGGTACAATTTTTTTGACGCATTTTGTATATTAATTAGTCACTTGCTGGAAAGTCGGGAATATTTCCGTTATGAGTAAGATTTCTACAGTAGACATGAAACTCCATAGGAACTCATTTCAAAAGAGTCATCAGATCATTGTACTTTGCAGTAGATATAGGTTTCTCAGTGTCTCTCACTTCACAAAACACCAACAGACCGAAGGTAAAACAAAAACACCGAAATGTAAACAAACAATGCGTGCAAGGAGCAAAGTGACAGACGGCCAGACATACGATCGCGCAACGACCAATCACAACGTATCTCATTACACTTAAACTAATTCAGTGTTAGTCATTGGACATGCCGTGGCTGATAATGCCCAATGTCGCTAATTTTTTGGCGCCATATTTTGAATAGTTCACATCCATAACGATTTATTTTTACATTGGCCCACCAATGCATTTACAAAGTTTCTAAAACAAAAGGCATAAAGACGTATATCTGCAACCGTTTTAAAGTTATTAAAGGAATCTTAGATGCATAATATCGTAGGTTTAGTTACGATGAATATTTTAAATCACTGTTTGAACCATAAAGGCGTGACTCCTTTTACGTAGCCTTGGTGCGAATATTTTTTTTAAGCATAAGGGCCAAATTTTCAATCCACCAAAAGAAAAATACAGCAATGTAGATGCAGAGGGAAGGAAGTGAAAATGAAACCTTAAGGTTCTAATGATTTTAGAAAATCTGTAAGAACCGACATTATGCACGGAATTATCTTAGCCCAGAAAAGAGATAGAAATACAGCTCTTAGTGCTATGGAAAGAGAAAGTAGCGCTTTTCTTTGTTATTCAATAAAAAAAATTTGCCCGACCTGCACATCCGCCCATATGCATCTAAGCTCCAGAAAAGTTAAACGATAAAAGACATTTAATAAAAATTAGCAAAAGGTACCTGATTTCTACAGTTAGTCATTCTACATTAATGTTGGCGAGGTCATTTTCATTGTTGATCCGCATATAGGGATCCCCTTCTTTTTTTCGCAAATAAATTTTACCTTGTGAAATCCAACAAAATGAAAAGGTGTTAATTTTTGCAAATTCTCTTCCTGCAAAGAAAAGTTTCTTTTTTTGAAATGTAAGATTTTCTGAGATAAATACTGGTCGTGAGGGGCAATCCAGGTGTAAATGGCTGGTACTCAATCTGTTGCTTTTGTGCTCATTATTATATTTCCTAACTGCTTTTAATACTTGTTCCCTCAGCAGCACACTGGTCAGCTCCACAACAATTGGCTTATTATTTTCATTCCTCGTATTAATACGGTAGATGTTACGAATTTCCGTTAAACCAATAGGCGCTTATAACTGGTGGGCCAGTTTGGCAGCCTCCTGTATAATGGAAATTAATTTTTTTCCTTTTCGAGATACACCTATACAACCTCCAGCTGGACCAAGGAGGTTGAACCTCTACTTTAAAAAGGTTTCAATGAACGAGTCCGCGACGACGCAACACGCATGCGCAACTTAGATTAAAACAAAAAGGGTAGATACGGCACTAGCCTCACAAAAGTGATCCGCATGAATTGTGGTCCACGACCCTAATCGCTTTAGTCACAACTTGACATGCAAACGACGTACATGTGAACGCCAAAAAGAAATATTGCTAATATTTTGTGTTTACATGATAAAACAATGCCTAAGTGTGTTTTTAAAAAGTACTCAAATTGCTCAAGAACTGAAAATAAAACCCGCGGCATCAATTTTAATTCGTAAGAACTATAAAATATATTTTTTCATACAAATTGCTGTTTGTTTTGAATCTTATTCGGTAGTGACGTCGAGTACTGGTCGCGTGATTGGTCGGTAGTGCAGTGTCGCGGACCTCGCCGTCTCGTTCGCGCTGTAGTTGAAACTTAACGTGCTGTTTCGTTTGGGTCGGTAATGCAGTGACGCGGATCTCGCCGTCCCGTTCGCGCTGCCGTGGGATCAGTTTTTGTTTGATGCAAGTATGAGCATACCGTATTTACCCTTTTTGTTTTAATCTAAGATGCGCAATCGATGTTTGCACCTTGGCGCCAACGTTTGACATTTAAAAAGTTTTGTTTTGTTTGTAAAATACATAAGTTTTTGTGTAAAAACATGTCTGAAAGCGGGGATAGTGGTGATTGTACACCACCAGACATTCTGGAAGCTGCGTCAAACATGACCATGAACCTGTTGCCGGCGAAATCTAGGAGCAACTATAATAAATGTTAGCACGAAATAAATAAAAATGTGTAGCATTTTCTGAAAATGTAGCGTACTTTCAAGAGTTTTCTGAAAAATATAAAGTGTCCAGTATGTGGGTTAAATACTCCTTGATTACAAGTACACTCAATATTTACAACGAAGTTGACATAACTAAATATAGCAAGCTGAATACATTTTTGAAACGAAACTCACAAGGATATATATAAAGGGAAAAAATCCAAGACTTTTACATCAGAGCAGATAAATAAGTTCTTAAATGAAGCCACACATTATATCTCTTCATAAAGGTATTTTAGTTGTTTATCAGTTAACCATGTACATTTTTTTTTGTTAATATTGAGTTAATTTACCGTAATATATATATGAGTTGTTGCAGATTGCACTAATTTTTGGTATAATGGGTGCTTGCCGACGGCAAGAGTTATACAACATACAATTCAAAGATGTTGAAGTCTTCGAAACTACACTATTGATCAAAATAAGTAAAACTAAAACCAAGACGGACTGCTCTTTTACCGTTACTGGGAAATATTTTGAACATTGCAAAAATTACATAGAGCTACTACCAACTGAGTGCAGCAATCCCAGTTTTTTTCTAAACTATTTTGCCGGAAAATGCACGACGCAGAGAGTTGGCATTAACAAATTTAGAGCTTTAGGCAAAGTAATTGCCAGCTATCTTCAACTTACCGACCCCGAATTGTACACAGGACACTGCTTTCGCCGAACATCTGCGACCTTGCTAGTTGACGCTGGTGGAGATATAACGGCACTAAAGCGACACGGTGGCTGGAAGTCAACGACAGTTGCAGAAGGCTATATAGATGATTCAATGACTAACAAGATCGCTGTATCCAATTCAATACTTAACAGTATTGAAAATACAAAAATGACGTCAACATTAACCCTCTCTGAGTACCTCCAATAACGCTTCGTATTATAGTATGAGAGTAGATAAAGTAGTGTATGACACTGTACATAACTGTCTTATAACACTCGTGTGATACTATAAAAAAACTCGCCTACGGCTCGTTTTTTTTCAAACACGCTCATGTTAGAAGAACCCTTATTATGAAACAGTATCATAAATACTATTATATAGAAATACATATTAAACATCCATGACTGGAGTAAAAATGCTCGTATTCATCACATAAACATCTACCCCCACGGGATTCGAACCCGGGACCTCTCGAGTCGGCGAAACCATAAAACACAGCGTATAAACCACTCGGCCACAGAGGTCGCCTTAATAATATAAAATAAATAAATAAATCATAAGTATATTTTGATACAGCTATCAATACTCGACGGAATTCACTTTACAGAGCCTTATACGAAAGGGTCGTGGTACTGGAACAAAGGAACCGCGAGCAGGACATAGTGATCGCGAACATTTCCAAGCAGTTGTCTGCGTTTGCAGTAGCTAAAAACAAACAGAACCAAGATATGCTGCTCCGCTACTGCATGGGCAACTATGTGTGGCGGATAGACAACTTCCAGGCCCGACTCGATGCCATGCTCAAAGATCATTACAAGATGCTTTATAGCCCTGGGTTTTACACTTCACCGAACGGATACAGGTACAGTTTAACTAATAAATTAAATTAACACAAATCAAGAAGGCTAGCTACAGAGGAGCTCGATGGCGCAGGTGGTTAGCGCGTTCGGCCGTGATCGTTAAAGTTAAGCAACTGTCGCAGTGGTCGCTCATTGGATGGGTAACCAAAAATCTTCTATTTCGAGCTCCTCCGTCCTTCGGAAGGCACGTTAAGCCGTTGGTCCCGGCAGCATCTGCAGTTGTTAGCACCAGCCAATCCGCACTGGGCCCGCGTGATGGGTCATGGCCTAATCTCCCTAATCCATCAATAGGGAAGGCCTGTGCCCCAGCAGTGGGGGCATTAGTAGGCTGATAATGAAAGAAGGCTTATTAGATTTGACAAAATTGTAAATTATAATATAGATAATAAAAAATACTATTGTAACAGTGGAAATAAAACACACTTATTTGGAAACAGCCAGATTTTTATTTAAATCAAATTGTATCGTTAATAAATATTTCGAATATATGTGGATAGCAATAAATCATATTATTTCCGACCATAAATCAGTCTAAACTGTAAACTAAACAAATAAACAATTGCCATACAGATTTTGCGTCCGCCTAAACATATCGCCGCAGAATCCGCTCTGCTTCGCTCTCCACGTACATCTAATGAAGACCGAATACGATGACTGTCTCGAGTGGCCTTTCAACGGACGCATCTCCTTTGCCATGATCAACCAGTACGAGCCAGAGCTCAGCCAGCGAGACACTATGATGTCCAACTCCAGTTTGATCGCTTTCAGAAAACCCACAACAGAAATATGCGTCAGAGGCTTCGGATACACGGAATACGCAGTAGTAAGCAACGTCGTCAAAAACGGCTTCGTTAAAGAAGACTGCCTCATTGTACGCGTTCATATAAAGTGCGTATGACATGAGGAGTGAATTTTTCGTTTGACATTTTACGACATTAACACATTCAAATATGATGATCTTGATAAGTTAAGAAATCTCTAAGTATTGCGTTTAAACAAAACTAACAAGTTTGCCTACCATTCCGCTATCTGTGAAATTGTCACTTTCGAGTGGCCTTTCATCGGGCGCATCTCCTTCGCCATGATCGGTTGATCAAGCCAGAGCGCAGCCAGCTAGACACTATGATGTCCAATTCTAGTCTCATAGCCTTCAGAAAATCCACGACGGAAATAAGTATCAGAGGCTTCGAATACACGGAATACGCCTTGGTAGGCAGCGTCATTAAATACGGCTTCGTTAAAGATGACTGCCTCATTGTACGCGTCCATATAAAGTGCGTTTGACATGAGAAGTGAATTTTTAGGACGCCATATTACAACTTAAACACACTTTGTATACTGATCAAGGATCAAACTTGACGAGTTAAGGATTCCGGAAGCACTGCTGGCTGATGAACAGACTAACATATTTAGTTGCCATTCCGCTATTTGCCTTCTGTTGTAAACAGCCGATTCAAATCGTTTTCGATATAATGGGGAAACATAAAAACTGTATAGGTTTTCAGGAACTTATTTTACTTATATTAATATTTGTTCACATAGCGACTTTGCTGCCCTTGGTTCTTCAAATCAGTTTTTTTTCTGATTTATTTTACAGACAGTTTTTTTTTTCTAAACTTAGGTCCATAAGTATAGATGATTTATATTTTCCCTTCATCAGGGTAAGAAAACTCTTAATGAGTTCCATTTTTATTTCAAAACAAACAATTCATATAGTATATATTATGTTACCCTTGGCGAGGTGATGGTTTTAAAAAAGTGATATGTGCCTTCTGCTCTGGGAAGACAATTGTGCCGGCACTTCACTTGGCTATTCGTATTTGCTATTTATAAATTTAACATGAGTCTGACCTTCTCATTTCTTATAAAGTATGATAAGGACAGACTGTTGTCATATTTACAAATAGCAAATACGAATAGCCAAGTGAGGTGCCGGCATTAGATTGGAACTATTGTAGAAATCGTCTCATCTAAAACTGAACGCCCCTCCGCACTTTCTGATACTTTTATGAGTGATCGAAGCCAGCTGCCAGCTTCGTGTCTAGCCCGCGACTGAATCAACTGAATGACCAATAGCTAATTTTAGTGCGTTGCATTTGACACCGATTGTGCATATAAGAGTAAGACAATGGAGGGGCGTTCAGTTTGAAATTAGTCGATCTCTACCCGCTCTGCAAGTATTAGGTACATCCCGAAACTTCCTACATAAATGTATTATATTTTATCTACACCGATGCTTTAAAACCTTTATTAAAGATTATGAAAGAGTTAGCGTATTGCCAACATTAAAACATCCAATGTCATAATAAAAATAATCCTTATACCCAAACAGGTGTTCAATTGTTGTACTAAATTTCATAATAACTTCGCTTTTTAAATCCCTTCCGCACCAAGGGCTTACTCATCAGACAGCCACAATTTCCACTGCTCGATGCGTGGTATGAATTTCAAAAAAGGAACAGTGTCATTCACGAGCATTTCACTACCACAGCACCTAATCTTTTGATGAATTTTAAGTGCTTACTCCCCATTGTTTCAGATTTTTTTCGATTCATATCATGGGTGTACATAGTCTTGTATGCAACTGTTCACAATTAGGTATTAAAACACTCATGTTATACTACTCATATTCCTGTTTTTATACAGTAGGTATATTACTATAACATAATCCGTCCTGTCGATACCTGTCTTATAACAATAAATGTGCATATTGTATCTTTTATACGAAGATACTAGTTTATTTGTAGGAACCTATACATATATAAGGAATCGATCTAATATGACCGATTTTATGTGAAATTATATAATAAATGTGCCGTCCATGAAATAATCTCAAGCTAAATGAAAATATTAATAATTGTTTTTTTTTTATGTGGAGATTTTATTCCATTTTTGTGTAATATGTTAATGTACTTAGAAAAAATATATTTTGTTGATTTTACATTCCGTTTTGTATATTGTAAAAATATATTATTTGTAGTGATTTATTGTAAAGAATAATGCATAAAAATGTTTGTTACTATATATTAATTATGTTGTAAGAGATCTGTTTGTATAGTTTTTATAATACACATAATGAAGTATTTTTTCTTGTTTTTTATTACACTTACGTTTTTTGATAAAATAAAAAAATAAAACCCAAATTATTGTTAAATAATAATTATATTGGTAATGAATTAACTAAAATAACTTAACTGATATCTTATCAATATATAGGAATTTAACTGACATTTTCTTATATATAAATATATACCTGACAAATATAATAATATTTAAGACAATATCGAGCAATTACGTTTAATCTTATCACATCCAACCATCACATTGATACTTCTGTGAAAAATAAAATAAAGTGACTACATGGTTATGGCTTACATTGCAAACTCATATATGGACATTAATTCTTACGCCTTGTTACGATTTAGGATGAGTAAAAATCTGATTTCATACAGGTTTACAATGTGTACCTATACAGACAGGAGTTGACTTTTTGTATCTTCATATTATATTATACCCAAAAATTACATGTCATATCAATATAATTATACTTAAATAAAATTAAACTTTGTATAAGTCGTAGAGTGATTTGATAAATCGAATTTTCGCAAAAGTCCTAGGGAATTTGCTAACACGAATAATAATTAGACTATGTGGATGAGATTTCTCAATGTTACTGAAAAAAATGGGAGTTTAGCGAAAACGCGAATCGCCTCAGTAAGATTGCGAAAACAATCGTTGGCTTAATATAAATATTCTAGGGGGTTTTGACTTCTTGGGTTCACACATTTTATTTTTAAGTTTTATGGCTGTGAATTTTTCCGTTTTGGTCATTCATTAAAGGGTTCACACTGGGTTAGGTTGTGACCATGAATCCCGCGACGCGCTATCGGTAGGGCCTTGCCTACCGACTAGGGGAAAGCTACTTTTCGTCTAGTGGGTAGGCAGGGGAGAGCCCGACATAACTCGCTCACAAGTTTTAGTGAGCGGGTATGCATCATGCATTTCCCCCATCAGAAGAAAAAAGTTGTTACCATGAAAAAAATTCGTTATCAGTAAGATTGAGCAGTGATATCGGCATTGTCTAATTTTTCCGTGCTTTAGCCTTATATTAAAACAAAAAGAGAAGATACGGTACGCTCATACTAGCATCAAATAAAACATGATCCGACTCAACTACATAAGCAACTTTCACACACGCACACGTCTGTATAACAACATTCAATCGAGCGAGCGAAACAGAATTCTGTTGTACTCTACGCTTCAACGCAGTGCAAGCGAAACGGCGAGTCCGCTTCCCAGTCAGTACGGCTGAGCTGAATTGATGTCCTTTTCTTGATAACAAAATGGCGATTACGTTAATAACATTCATGACAAACCGTGATTTTTGAGAAAATAATGTTTTTACAGTTTTACGAATGAAAAGTATTGCCCAGGCATTTGTTATTTGATTTTGAACTATTTGTGTTCTTTATAAAAGCATCGAAGGCATTGTTTTATCTTTATAACACAGAATATACGCAATATTGTTATATTGAGTGCACATGCAGCGTGTTTGAATGTCCAATTGTGACTAAAGCGAATTGTGGTCTTGCACCACAATTTGAGCGGATCACTTTAGAGCCGCGAGTGCCGTATCTTCCCTTTTTGGTTTAATCTAAGGCTTTAGCAGATCACAAGGATTTACGAAAAAAATCGATTTATCAAATCATACTACGTACGAAATATACAAAACATTCATGGATTTATTATGCAAATTGCCTTTATCAGGTCAATTCTTTTCTTGTTTTTATATTAGGGATTAAAACAATAACATTAATTAAAATGATTAAAGTTACTTAAAACGATGATTCTAACGTTGCTTAAGTAGTAGTAGTTATAAATGTTCAACCTATTAAGTAGTGTTATTTATAAAGCTCCCTTTCAAAATTATCAATACTTTTACTTTGGCATCGCAATAATATGAAATCCAGTGGATGATTCCAGACTATTGTCTTTCAGTCTAACATTTTGGGAGCCTTCTACTTACAGAGAATAAACATTACAAGTAGTGTTTATGTACTAGATTCCTATAATACCTTAGTGATTTACATACGACTATGACCATTCATCAGGATTTTAGGACTAAATAAAAATATATAGTAAATTAAAAAGAAATACTCTTAAATTATTAAATAGACATGTAATTTCAAGGCCAATTTTTGTGATAATGTGCATATACGACATCTTAAATCAGAAATAAACAAAGATAAGTTCAAATTTATAGATCCTCATAAATGGCATATTTGACATTTTTGCATAAAACGAACACACGTTAAAAGAAAATGCATTTTTATGTAATTTAGTAACATAAATATTTAACGATGATACATTATTTGCTATATATATAAAAATAAACAAAAATTACTAGCTTAAATAACAAAAATTTTTATTTAGACTTGGATATAGTTAGACTATTGCGCACCATCTTCTATAATTATATATTTACCGTGTTCTTTTAAAGACTGTTAGGCACCTCGCGCAATAGACGGTTAGAACCAAGGCCAGTGGCAGCAAAGACCAGATTAACTATAGTTGGCTTTTGCGGCCAAGTGCGCGACGTTTCTTACGGTGGCCTTAGTTAATGTGGTCGTTGCGGTCAAATGCGCGACATTCGTACGGTTTGCTTAGTTAATCTGGTCGTTGCGGCCAAATGCGCGACGTCCGTACGGTTTCCTTAGTTAATCAGGTCGTTGCGGCCAAGTGCGCAACATTCGTATGGTTTGCTTAGTTAATCTGGTCGCTGCGGCCATTGGCCGTGGTCGAGGCTGTCTAGTGCGCCAGGTGACTTAAATAAACTGACAACAAGATCATATATTCAATTCTATACCTTATTGGACGCGCTAAGGGTCTCTCAAACAGAAGGCGGCCTGCCGTAGCGGCCAGCCTTGATTGGTCTCTTGTGTTTGAACACTCGCTTACATTGCAAGCGAATACAACTGCTGGTTGCCGCGTCTATTCGTGAGACACTTTAAATGCACGTGATTTAAGTAACATCTCATCATATAGATGTGCAATCGAACCTAACCAACTGTGTTATCTTAATATATCAAAATGTAAAAACGACTATGCTTACAAGATTAATTAATGAGATAAGTACCAGCGTCAGTACCCTAATGTAAATAAGTTTTAATAAATACTCACTACACTTTCTCTAATTACTTTATCAAAATAAGTTTACACGTGTTCGGCGGACCAACGTTTTGACACTATAAAATTTAATTTTTTATCACATCAGTGCCTATTAAACCATTGGCAAAATAAAATAAGAGACCACAAATTTCTAGCCCACAAATAATAAAGAAATTAACTAAGGAAGACTCGACGGAAGCCAAACAATGTTTCCTTGTTGTTAATGGTTCTATTTTCCGCGAGACTGGAATGTTGATATATATTTAAAAACTAAAAATGATAATTTAATAAAAACATTAATCGAGCGAACTTATATATTTTCATGTTTCTTTTTTTTTGTTTTGAGACCTAACTTATTATCTAGAATTTCTACTATATATCACAGTTTCGGTAAACAAATGCAGAAAATTCATTGCAACGTAATGTTTATTGATATTGCAGAAAATGAAATCTATTTATGTGAAGAATCAATAAAGAGTCGAATAGGCCCTTTGATCCGAAATTAATTAATATTTTTCATCACGAAACAAACATTTAACACTGTGATTTAACTATAAGAAGTCAAAAAGAAACGTAAAAGTGCGTACGGATTAGAGGCAGCTTCAAAGTGAACAGCTTCGTCACGCTCGTGTGGTAAATAGTTAAAAAAAACACGAGG